AGGGTTGGGGCATAACGTAATCTTGGTTGGACCGATTACTCAAGCTCGGTTAGACTGACTTTGGTAATAAGCTAACAGAGAGTTGGTCAGGCAAACTCGGTGGGACCGATTCGCTCGAATCGGTGGGACCGAAGCGTTACGAAAAGGAAACAAAGAGTTTGCATTGCAGACTCGGTGGGACCGATCGCTCATCTCGGTTGGACCGAAATGTTACGAAGGGAAACAGAGAGTTTGCAACCCCATCTCGGTGAGACCGAGATCCCTATTAGTGAGACCGAAAAGACTAGGGTTTCTGGTAGTAGCTATGTCAAATGAACTCAGTGGCGCCGGATGGATTAAATCGGTGGGGCCAAGTTTGACTTTTGGGTTTGGGACATATGTGGATGTGAGAAAGTGGTTGAGGGCTTTTGGAGCATATCACTAAGCATTTTGAGCAAGCAAGCCATTAAGCAACACCTCATCCCCTTTTAATAGTATTGGCTTTCCTATAGACTCAATGTGATCTTGGATCACTAAAATAGAAAATGTAGAGTCTTGGACTTTGAAGATTGATCCAATCTTTTGTCCTTCGCATTTTGAGGGGTCCACATTCCTTATCCATGCCATGCCAATCATTGAACTTTCCTGATATATTTATCTTGTAATGGCATTAGTTCAATGAGCTATATGTTGTTAATCATTACCAAAACCACCCAGGGATAGTTGCACTTTCAATCTCCCCCTTTTTGGTAATTGATGACAACATATAGATCAAAGCTTCGAGAAATGATAATAAGATTTTAATACATTGTCGCTTTGAGAAGTATGTGAAAAACAAGAGCTCCCCCTAAATTTGTGCATTATTTAAAATTTGCTTTGGACTGCAAGTGCACAATGTGTTAGGATCATAGGTCACTCTTCCATGTCACATACATCTTGGTGGAGCGCTCAAAATGATAATAATTGAAAACATGCACTCATCACCAAGCAAAGTGAATGATCATAAATGGATATGAAGGATAATGTCATTCAAGCACACATTAAAGTAGCATATGATCAAACACATGATCATCCAAGTATCTCACAAAAGACATAATGTCACAAGCAAACACACAATAAACTTCAAGCAAGTAAAATGCAAAGAGAGACAAAACAACACACACACTCTCTCGAAGACTATGATCTATACATATTTCTCCTCATTTGGCAACAAGTACCAAAAAGTTAAAAATATGCATAGTGCTATGCGTCTCTCAGGCTTGGTCTTCATGAGGTGGTGTAGAGATGACTCCAAGGACGAAAGCGTTTGTAGATGTGGCTGGAGCTGGTGGCACTACAAGACATATGTCAACTAGTGACCTTCTGTCAGTGACTCTGGAAGAATTGGTCATAGATCTATGACCATTTGGGACCAATTGGTCAAAAGTTGTTCGGGGGGCTCCAAACCCTAAACAATAACGACCATTTTGGTCAGAAAGGTCATAATTTCCTTACACAAAATGGTCATAAAGCAGATATCACTGGTCCGCTGCCTTATTTCTAGCTGATCATGACCAATATAGATGGTCATAACCTTGTAAATTGTGGTGCGTTGCTATGACTAGGCGCCACCTCATCAATTTTGCCTATGTGTCATGTCCATGTGGCAATTTTTGCCCTAGGTTGTGAAGCAACCTATATTTCTGTCATTCCCAAAATTCCCAAAAAAATCTCATAAATTCTTTGGGTCATATCTTTGTCAAATATGTAAAAAACATTCCTTGCCTTGTTCAAAAATAATTCAAAAATATTCATTTTCCTATTCTATTCAAAAAAACACTTTGTGAAGGAAGTACCACTTTGTCATGTCCAAATGGTATCCATTTTCTACAGTGCTATCATATGCCCAAATAACCATCCTCAACCAAATGCCAGCTCAATCCATTCATTATTTTGAGCCCAGCTTCAACATTTGTATTTATGTCCAGTGTGGTACTTTGCAAAGCAACTACCACCTAGGCTCCTCCTTTTGAGATGAAAATTTGTGAAGACGGTCTTCTTAGTAACTGATCATCCTCAGCCAAAACTCACGCCCATTAGCCATGTGCATTTCCTGTACCGCTAATCAAACACTTGGCTGCTTATTCATGTTTGATCATCGGTCGGTCTCCTCGTGAGAATCTTATATTGTGATTTTCTTCCTAGCACCTACCCGGGGAGTGCCCAACCCACTAGACATGCCTAGGCCGCCCAGAACACATGGCAACGCCATGGTCACGTGGTGACCATGCGGCGGGCATGCGAGTTTACGCGCTCTAGAGTTGGGGCCCTCGGCCACCATCCAAACCTCGACGTATTGCCACCAAACCATGTATTTATGATTAAATAGGTACTTATGTAACTATAAATGATTTTTGGAAAAAAATAAATAGCGAACTACGAGGCAGCTGCAGTTCGAATTTGACCCGCTTCCTACTGAATCGGTGGGAATTTGTCTTTTTCACTAGAGGTGGATCAAAACTTTTGACACCCAACCATTTTTTCAATTGTCCATTAAATATGGCCTAGTATTTTAGAAAATTGATTTGGTCCAATTTTGCAACAAATATATGGTAGGTCCTTCACAAAAAAACTCATTTCAAGCACTCGGAAAATGGAAAATGAATTTTCCGTGCAAAGAAAATGAAAACTCCCTTAGGAAACATTGTTTGGAATTCCAAGATGCACCCTTACACACAATATGAGATCATTTGAACAAACTATGCCATGAATGTGGCAATAAGATTGATCATTTGGCTTGAAAGCCATGAATCTTCACGCATGATAGCTCATTTTTTAGAACACTTTTTAAAAATAATTTCCATATTACAAGTTTATTATTTTCCTGGAAACTTGGTCACATATAATTACACAATGCGAAGGTTTTCCAATTTTTTGATTTTTTTTGAATTTTTTATGCCCATTTCAAAATGCGGTCAAAACGACGGGCTTGACGGTTCCTAGCTAGTGGTTGAATCTTGGAAAACTTTTGATATTTCTCTGATTAAATAGATACTTATGTACCTAGAAATGATTTTTGGAAAAAATAAAGATCAAATTATGAGGCAGCTGTAGTTCAAATTTGACCCGCTTCCTACTGAATTGGTGGGAATTTGTCTTTTTCACCAGAGGTGGATCAAAGGTTTTGACACCCAACCACTTTGTCAATTGTGCATTAAATATGGCCTAGTATTTTATAAAATTGATTAGGTCCAATTTTGCAACAAATATATGGTAGGTCCTTCACAAAAAAACTCATTTGGGGCACCCGGAAAATGGAAAATGAATTTTCCATGCAAAGAAAATGAAAACTCCCTTAGGCAACATTGTTTGGAATTCCAAGATGCACCCTTGTGCACAATATTAGATCATTTCAACAAACTATGCCATGAATGTGGCCATAAGATTGATCATTTGGCTTGAAAGCCCTGAATCTTCACACATGATAGCTCATTTCTGAGAACACTTTTTTGAAAATAATTGTCATATCACAAGTTTATTATTTTTCCTGGAAACTTGGTCACATATAATGACACAATGCGAAGGTTTTCTAATTTTTTAATTTTTTAATTTTTTATGCCCGTTTCAAGGTCAAAACGACGGGATTAATCGTTCCTAGCTAGTGGTTGAATCTTGGTAAACTTTTGATGTTTCTCTAATTAAATAGATACTTATGAACCTAGAAATGATTTTTGGAAAAAATAAAGATCAAACTATGAGGCAGTTGTAGTTCAAATTTGACCCGCTTCGTGCTGAATCGGTGGGAATTTGTCTTTTTCACCAGAGGTGGATCAAAACTTCTGACACCCAACGATTTGGTCAATTGTGCATCAAATATGGCCTAGTATTTTATAAAATTGATTTGGTCCAATTTTGCAACAATTATTTGATAGGTCCTTCACAAAAAACTCATTTTAGGCACTCGGAAAATGAAAAATGATTTTTTCGTCCAAAGAAAATGAAAACTTCCTTAGTCAACATTGTTTGCCATTCCAATATTCACCCCTGTGCACAATATGAGATCATTTGAATAAACTATGCCATGAATGTGGCCATAAGATTGATCATTTGTCTTGAAAGCCATTGATCTCCACACATGATAACTCGTTTCTGAGAACACGTTTTAAAAATATTTGTCGTATTACAAGTTTATTATTTTTTCTGGTAACTTGGTCACATATAATGACACAATGCAAAGGTTTTCCAATTTTTTGATTTTATTTTGAAATTTTTATCCCCGTTTCAAAATGCGGTCAAAACGGCGGGCATGACTGTCCCTAGTTAGTGGTTGAATCTTGGAAATTTTTTGGTGTTTATGTGATTAAATAGATACTTATGTACCTAGAAATGATTTAAAAAAATAAAGAGCAAACTATAAGGCTGCTACAGTTCAAATTTGACCCGCTTCCAACTGAATCGGTGGAAATTTATCTTTTTCACGAGATGTGGATCAAAACTTGTGACACCCAACCATTTAGTCAATTGTGCATTAAATATGGCCTAGTATTTTATAAAATTGATCTGGTCTAATTTTGGAACAATTATTTGGTAGGTCCTTCACAAAAAAACTCATTTTGGGCACTCGAAAAATGATTAAAAATAGCTAGAAAGATAAAAATGCATGCAAATTGGCGATCATCCAAAAAATGTGGTCTAACTTGAGAGAAAATTTTAGTTGTGCCATTTTGGAAAATATTTTGATAGCTGCTTCACAAAATACCCATAGTTTTAGTACTTAGAAACTATTTTAAACCATAAATTTTCTGAGCCAATCAGGTCTCATCCCACGGATCACCCCCTTTAGCCGATCTGAACCGTCCGTTCTAGCTGATCTGACCGTCCACCTCTCATCAGCCCAATCCAAACCCTAGCAGCACGCGCCTGCCTCTCTCTTCCCCTCTCCGCCGCCTCTCTCTTTCCCCTTCACCCCGATATAGATCCAACCCAAGCGCCCCGTCCTCCGCCGCCGCCCTGTCCCCTGCCGCAGCCACGATTTCACGGCCATGCGCCACCCACCTTTGGATCCCTCCGCCCGCTCGCGCCCTTGCTCCCTCTCCGCCTGTGGGGCCGCGCCCCTCGCGCTGCTCCGCGACGACGCGGGCTCGTCCAAGTGGCGGGCGACCGGCGGCGGCGGCACCAGCGTCGTTGCGAGGGGGCCGCGAGTGGCGGGCGACCCGTACCTCTTCCGGCTTCCTCCCCTCAGCCTTGATTCCCCAATCCACCAAACGCCGCCGACCTCCTCTCCTCTCCCACCATCGACCTCCTCTCCCCAGCCAGCCCCACAGACGACTTCCGCGGTCTCCCCATCCCCGGCGGCCTCTGCCCTCGACCCCGTCGCCGGCGGCCCCTAACCTCTCCTCCTCTCCCTCCCTGGCGACTGGCGAGGGAGGATCCAGATCCACTCGAACGTGGCTGCGGCGGCCACACACCGGCAGAAGAATCCTCCTCCTCCGACACCATCGCCTCCGCGCCCTCCTCCTTCAACCCCCTAGTCCCCTGCCGCGTCCAGCCTCCACATACACCCCTCCTCGCGCCCGGCCGAAACCCTAGCCAGCGGGCGGCCATGGCGGACGAAGCTGCCGCGCGCCGGAGGTGCAGCGCAGGCCTCTCTCCTCCAAGACCCCGACAATGGTATGAATCCCTCCTCCCCTTCTCTGTTTTTTCCTCATTTCCTCATCTGATGCGTGTTTTTTCTGCGTGTTCATCTGTTGCCAAGGTGACCCCTCTCCTCCTCTTCTCTATTTTTTGTTCATTTTCTCATATGATCTGATGCGTGCTCTCTTGCTTGGTGTGTGTGCAGTTTGGTACCATCCCGTGGGGAGGGCCAGGGACAAGCTGCTCCGATCCGGCGGGGATTCCCACCATCTGCTGTTCGACCACCTGCTCTGGATGCTCGACAACGCCGTCGACCTCCGCGCCGGCACCGGCGGCGAGGACGACGCCACGTGCTAGCCCAGTTACAGGTGATCGAGTCGCCGGTTGATATATACGTCAGGGAGTAGTACGATCAACCCTGCATGAACCATGCGTGTTGGTGATACTCCTCTCTGGATTCGATTGATTCTTTTTGTGTGTTCTTGCGCGAGATCTAAGATTCTCGGGCACCAAGTGGAAGATATATACTTTGGGTTCGTTCGTATAGGCAGAGCTGCTTGATAGCTAATGGTTCTGTATTTGTTCTAGCGTCAATGCTCTTTATAACTCTAGGGACAACTTACTCGGCTTGATTCATAGTCAATCTTACTAGCTACTCGGAGTACTAGAGCAGCATGCACGTCAAAAAATACGAGCGAGGTCTTGGGGCATGGGCGGAGACAGGCCCCAGGCAGCCCAGGCGGCGGCCTGGGGCGTGCAGCCCATCTCCTTCGTGGCCTGGCCCAATTCGCCTGGGGCGTAACCGCGTAAGGCACTGAGGCCCATCTCCTTCGTTCGCTTGGCTTCGTTGCCTCCCTGCCTCGTGTCCCCTGTACTCCTCTTGGACGAACGAACCGGCCGCCCGCCGCCCCTTCCCTCGACTTGGACGAGCCCTTGGCGTCGTTGCATGACCTGCGCTTTGGCGCCGCCTGCCGTCGTGCGTGCCTACCCAGCCCCTCCCCCCTCCCCCTTTTGATCCCCTTCTGCGGGTTGCTGTCCTATCCAGCGAGGCGGCAGGCTGCCCCGCGTCCGGCAAGGCGGCCGTTGTTTGCCAGGAGTCGGGCAAGCGCAACCCACCCCATCGGCCTATGTCCTCAGCCGAGCCGCAGCACAGAGCAGACAGAGAGCAGAGGTAGCTATTTCCAAATCCCTTTTTTGCTTCCAGAGCAAAGGTAGCTATAAATTCAGTCATATAGCTTGCAGTTTCTGTAAAAACGTTTATGATGATTTACTGTAATGCACTGTTAGATAAAGATGAAATATGTCAGCGTAGTCCAATTTTGACTAATTTGAATGGATTCGCTTTTATCAAATAGGAGCATGTCTTCTACACAGTACTTCCTATGTTAGTCATTCTTCCAAGTTTATTTAGAGAGGTAGTAGAAACAGGCCAATGGGGTCATTACAACCGATCCAGCTAATCTACTAGCTCCAAATCTTTGCAATACTGATCTATATATATGCTACATATTGTTCTTTGGTTTGTCTTGCTTTATTAGTTGACCTGTCATGGAACAAATGTTGCCACCGAATATTATGTTTACTTTCTTATTAGTTATGCAACATAGATTCACTTTTGTATGCCTTGAAACTATGAATTCTTTTAGGGTAGTTTTTAGCTCTTAAGTTTCTCGCCTGGGACGTCAGCCAATCCTGGCTCCGCCACTGTCTTGGGGGCTGGGACACAGTTAACAGCGACCAAGCAACGGCCGGTCCACGTATTTGCTGAGTCGTATGCTAGTATCCATGTCACAGTAACAGTGATAACCTGAGAGTTGTTGCAAATTTCTTTCATTCAGCTTCGTTTGTTTATGCAGCTGGCAGAGGCCATCAGGAGGAAGAAGCCACCTGGCGACGTCGTCCGGATCGTGAGCACCAGGAGCAAGCCGCAGCTCGCCGCCACGTTCCGGTGCTACAAGGAACAACATGGCAGCGACATCGAAGAGGTTTATTAATTATCACCTCCTTTTGTGTCTAACTAATAGTAGCAATATACAGTATATCTGTCAAGTATCCAATTCACGGACACACAAGTGAACTGAAGCGCTTGTTCTTGTTGCTGCTGCTGTTGTTGCAGGACATGAAGCAGTACAACAGCAGCCAGTTTGCAAGGATGCTCAAGATTGCTGTCTGGTGCCTCACATCTCCTGAAAAGCACTTTTCAGAGGTACGCCACGGCACGCAGATCAACCTCACCCTGCGCGCCCGCTGGTGGCTGCACTGCATCACGCGCAGCCGCGAGTGCGACGCCAGGCTCGTTGTGCCCATGGGGGACCATGTGAGGCCATCGGATTCTGTCATCGTCGTCGGCGTATCGCATATTTTTTTAATTTCCTGGTGTTGTTCTGTTGGCTCGTCTCAGTAGGACTCAGTTTGGGGAGGGTTGGCATGATTGGTGATGCCGTATTATTGTGTCTGTTTGACTTGAGTTGTTGTACAGTTAGGGTCGCTTGTCGTGTCAGGGTGTCTGACTGCAATCTTTGGCTTGCCTGATGCTAAATTCTAGATACTGGGTAGGATGATACTTCGTGGAGAAACAGTTGTATACAAATTCTATCATTGTGTTGTATAGTGGGTATCTGATTCAGTAGCAAATTATGAAAAGGGATACAGTCCATGCTTTATTGTAACACATGGATATCTCACTTGGTATCTTGTGCTAGTGCTGCTCCCTGTGATAGAGTAGAATGATACTTCGTGGCATACATTCTCTGTCTCTGTTTGAAAACGATCCGCATTTGGCTGATTGGTGCTTAACCAGATTGAATGTATCACCAAATAATCGTGTAATGAGTAGGTTTGCTAGGTTCATAGGCTGAGCAGCTCTGTTCCAATGTGTGCTTCCTTTTATGCTAAAGTGTACGTTTCCCCTTGCACGAATAGTAAGACCACGTTGAAGCGCAGAAGGGTCTGTTTTAGCAAAAGACACCGTCAAGTCAGTCCTCAAGTAGTCTTTTACGGCTACATAACTTTTACTCCATGTCTTGGTTCATATGCTACAGAAAACCGCGGCTCTGTGTTTAATTTATTTCTTATACATCTCTATAAATTAGTAATAGCAGTTTGGATTGCTCTGTCTTCATAGTGCTCGAATGGATTGGATTTACAACTCAATGGTGAACACTAATCTAGTGAACGAAAAATGGAACAAAAACATGTCCCCTTTTTCTTCAGATGACATACTGAAGTAAAACCCAACTGAAGCTGAATTGTTCATGTCGAGGGATTAAACACAGCCTGCACAGTTTTCTACTCCATTTAATATACTTGTGCATCGTGTGCTTATACTACCATTTGCTTGGTTCTTAACACAGGTGAAGTGTCCAGCTATGCTTCTCACTGACCAGTCACACTGGCAAGTCGAACGCGCAGGGAGAGACGACCCTCGTTACCACTCTGTACGCTGATCTTGATTCACGGTATGACTAATGTTTCCCCTCCCTGCTCTCAGTTCATCCTTGGACCTTGTGTTTGTGTGATGGTTTTTCGAATCTCTTGCAGACTTGGGTGTGCAGTACGTCCGGAGGTGCCACGGATATGGAGCCTGATGTTGCTGCTGAAGAGCAGAGCGATCAAGCTCCCCCAAAGGGACATCTAGAGGGCCTTACTCATCAGGTGAGCTGATGTTTGCCCGAGCACTTTGACTAGTGATGCTTTTTTTCTGAGAGAGAGAGGTGATATTGATGCTGTGGTTGCTGTTTCGTGCTTTGTGAGATGGTAGTTGGTAGTGGGATAGGCTATTGTCCTTGTTGGGTAGAATGTTTGCCTTGCCCTAATCTGATCTGTGTATCGTGCCTGTGTTTCGGTGCTGGTAAGATGCCAGAATCCATCAACAGATGTGAGGCTTGCCACTGAATAATTTTGTTGGCCAACTTTTTTATAAACTGAACACCTAGAAGAAAAGGCCTATGCAGTATTGCTTAGTCTATACTTAATACTGTATAGCTTTTACAACCTGATATGATCAGCGGAGAATAAAACAGTGCAAGTGCCTGCCAGTAGCACCATGATCAACTTTGCATACTAGTAGCTTCTATACAGATCCAGATTTCACCATGAGTAGTTATTCTAGGCATAGAAGCTGAACCCATCTTCAACAGTTATTCTAAACACAGATTTTGATGTGTGACCTGTTAATGAAGTATTGGTTGGTTGTGATTCCAAGCATAGATCTCTTGATGTTACTACTTGTTACTGCAAGCATGTTGTCTTGACATACTGCATTTCGATGATAAACTGCTATCTATGCTTGTTATTGGCTTTGAAGTTTATGTCTGTCTAGTGTGTAAGGAGCTCTAATTTCTCTTTCTAGCGCCTAAATTATGCCATGTGTACCAGGGGGAGCTAGATGTATGATGTACGGCAATGGGAATGGGAGCTGGTGAGGAAAGGAACCTACTGGGACAACCAGATCGAGTCCCTTCTCTACATATTGGTTTTGCTCCCTTGCACAACAGTAAATGCCTCTGCAAACATGATACTATATATATGCATGTCATAGTCAGCAGTTAGTGTGTGGCAATGAAGTGAACCATCAGATTACATTTTGCTTTGTCTTGTTGATAATGCCATATATCTTGCAATCAGATTTCATTTCATTTTGTTATGGTAATATAAAAAAATATTCGTGTTGTCAAAAATTTCATAGTGCTATAGAACATCTAGTAACAAGAATATGAAATTGTAAATAGCAAAAAATTCTTGTCTTGCGCTGTCTAAGTCTAAGGAAATAAAAAATTTTCGCTTATACAATTTCATCTACATCAAATTTATATATCAGAATGCCTTTCATTTCTTTAGTTTGATTGTTTCCCTTGTATTCAATATGCTTCTAATGGCTGATCCTTCCATTTTTGTTGTGGCATCTTTTTTTCAAGGTGTTGTGTGTTCTGGAAGATGGAAGAGGAAGAAAACTAATTTTTGTTGAACTAAATTTTTTGTATTCTGTTTTGTTGTATGTATGATTTGATAGTTTTGTATAGGAACATGTGATACTATTTTGTAGGGCTTTATGGCCTGTGATGTAAACATATTTAGTGATGAATTATGAAATTATTTGCAAAATTATTGAAAAGGAGAATCATTTGTATGAATATGGGCCGCATATATGTGAATGGGCCAAAAAGTGTATTGGACCAACTCCATTGACTCTATAAAAAGGCTGAATGTAAACCAGAAAATGGGTTGCACAAAATAGTACCTATATTCTTGAAAGGCCAAATGTGCGTAGAAGTTGATGGGCTGAACAGTAGGGCTTGGCCCATGTAGCTGACAAAAATTAACAGAAATAAATGTACTAAATGGGCTGAATTGTTGGGCTCAGCCCATGTAAAACACCTAATCGGACCGGGCTGAATTTTGTCAGTGACCTTTTCAATTGGTCGCAATTTTGCCACGTCAGATTGCCACGTCGGATCCGACGTGGCTTGGGCAGACAACTAGTGACCAAAACAAAAGGTCATGGGTTCAATGACATCCTGTTTTGGTCGTAGACGTCTATGACCTTCTCACAGAGAAGGTCGTTAATTTCAGTTTACGACTGCCAGCTTTTGACCTTCTGTTTTTGGTCACAAAAAGGTTGCAAATAAAAAACAATGACCTTTCAGTGACCAATAGTCAAGGTCACAAGTTGACATATTTCTTGTAGTGTGGAGTGGCTGCTGGAGCTGGTGGCACTGAAGCTGTGGCGGCCGGTGCAGATGTAGTAGCTCTTGTGTCTGCGACAGGCACTGCAGTAGACCTCTGACTTCTGGGCACTCTAGTAAAAGCATCTGTAGTAGACTTACTCTTCTTCTCCTCCACTTCCTCCTGAAGATGCTCAACCACTGGCTGAATCTCAGTTACCTTGACATCAAGATCATAGAATTTCTACTCAATGATCCTCTCCAAGCTCTCCTGGTTTTGAGTCAGGGTGGCCAAGCCCTTCTCAATCCTCAAGGTATTTGTGCCCACCTGGGACACCTTCCGGACTCCGTCAGAAAATATTTTTGCGGATTTTTTATAGTCTGTTTACTTATAGTATCACGTACGTCCTTATTTTGACAATTCTGGAGTGTTCCAGAAGGACTCTTTTATGTGCTCTTCCAGTGTCAAGGTTTGGATGATATTGCTTTCAACATTAATAGGCGTACCTGAGATATAATGCTTTATTCATTGCCCATTGACAACCTTTGGGTTAGTACCTTCGGAATTATTTATTTTGATGTCTCCAGACCGGTAAACCTCCTCGATGACATATGGGCCTTCCCATTTCGAGAGGAGCTTTCTTGCAAAGAATCTGAAACGAGAGTTGTACAAAAGAACATATTATGCGACTTTAAACTCACGCTTTTGGATTCTTTTGTCATGCCATCTTTTAAGCTTTTCTTTGAATAACGTTGCATTTTCATAAGCTTGGGTTCTCCATTCACCTAATGAGCTTATATCAAATAACCTCTTTTCACCAGCAAGTTTGAAATCATAGTTGAGTTCTTTAACTGCCCAATATTCTTTATGTTCTAACTCAAGAGGCAAATGACAAGCTTTTCCATAAACCATTTTATAAGGAGACATACCCATAGGATTTTTATATGCTATTCTATAAGCCCAAAGTGCATCATCTAATTTCTTAGACCAATTCTTCCTGGACCTATTAACAGTCTTTTGCAAAATTAATTTTATTTCTCTATTGCTAAGCTCAACTTGACCACTAGACTGAGGATGATAGGGTGATGCAATTCTATGGTTAACATCATACTTGGAAAGCATTTTACGAAAAGCACCGTGAATAAAGTGTGAACCACCATCAGCCATTAAATATCTAGGGACTCCAAACCTTGGGAAAATAACTTCCTGAAGCATTTTAATGGAGGTGTTGTGATCAGCACTACTGGTTGGAATAGCTTCTACCCATTTAGTAACATAGTCAATAGCAACCAAAATATGTGTATACTGATGATCCACAAGTATAGGGGATCTATCATAGTTCTTTCGGTAAGTAAGAGTGTCGAACCCAATGAGGAGCAGAAGGAAATGACAAGCGGTTTTCAGTAAGGTATTCTCTGCAAGCACTGAAATTATAGGTAACAGATAGTTTTGTGATAAGATAATTTGTAAAGAGTAATAAGCAATGAAAGTAAATAGGATGCAGCAAGGTGGCCCAATCCTTTTTGTAGCAAAGGACAAGCCTGGACAATTTCTTATAATTAGAAAAGCGCTCCCAAGGACACATGGGAGTTATCGTCAAGCTAGTTTCATCACACTCATATGATTCGCGTTCGGTACTTTGATAATTTGGTATGGGTGGACCGGTGCTTGGGTACTGCCCTTTCTTGGAGAAGCATCCCACTTATGATTAACCCCTATTGCAAGCATCCGCAACTACAGAAGAAGTATTAAGGTAAACCTAACCATAGCATGAAACTAGTGGATCCAAATCAGCCCCTTACAAAGCAACGCATAAACTAGGGTTTAAACTTGTGTCACTCTAGCAACCCATCATCTACTTATTACTTCCCAATGCCTTCCTCTAGGCACAAATAACGGTGAAGTTTCATGTAGTCGACGTTCACATAACACCACTAGAGGAGAGACACCATACATCTCATCAAAATATCGAACGAATACCAAATTCACATGACTACTAATAGCAAGACTTCACCCATGTCCTCAGGAACAAACATAACTACTCACAAAGCATATTCATGTTCATGATCAGAGGAGTATTAATATGCATTAAGGATCTGAACATATGATCTTCCACCAAGTAAACCGATTAGCATCAACTACAAGGAGTAATCAACACTACTAGCAACCCACAGGTACCAATTTGTGGTTTTGATACAAGATTGGATGAACTAGGGTTTTGCGAGCAGATGGTGCTGGTGAAGATGTTGATGGAGATTGACCCCCTCCCGATGAGAGGATCGTTGGTGATGACGATGGTGATGATTTCCCCCTCCCGGAGGTAAGTTTTCCCGGCAGAACAGCTCCGCCAGAGCCCTAGATTGGTTCCGCCTCGTGGCGGCGGTGTTTCGTCCCGAAAGCTTGCCTATGATTTTTTCCAGGGTAAAAGACTCCATATAGCAGAAGATGGGCACCGGAGGCCTGCCAGGGGGCCCACGAGGTAGGGGGGCGCGCCCAAGGGGGTAGGGCGCGCCCCACCCTCATGGACAGTGGGTGGCCCCCCTCTGATATTTTCTTCGCTCAATATTTTTTATTAATTCCAAAAATAACTTCCGTGGAGTTTTAGGACTTTTGGAGTTGTGCAGAATAGGTCTGTAATATTTGCTCCTTTTCCAGCCCAGAATTCCAGCTGCCGGCGTTCTCCCTCTTCATGATAAACCTTGTAAAATAGGAGAGAATAGCCATAAGTATCGTGACATAACGTGTAATAACAACCCATAATGCAATAAATATCGATATAAAAGCATGATGCAAAATGGACGTATCAACTCCCCCAAGCTTAGACCTCACTTGTCCTCAAGCGGAAGCCGATATCGAAAAATATGTCCACATGTTTAGAGATAGAGGTGTCGATAAAAATAAAATATGGACATGAGGGCATCATGATCATTCTTATAACAGGAACATATATAGATTTTGTCATATGATTTCTTATGCTCAAGTAACAATCTATTCACAATGTCAAGTATGGTTCAGAAACTTCATTGAGAACTAGCAAGCTATAATCTCAATCATTGAAGCAATTGCAATTTATCATAACATCAGAAAGAGTCAAGAATAGAGATTTTCAGCAAGTCCACATACTCAACTATC